CCCTGACCGGGAATCGAACCATGACCTCCTGGTTCATAGGTCGACGCTCAATCACTGAGCCACGCCGGCCGGGCTTAGAAACCATTTTTAAAGCAGCAGAGATGAAAGCAGCACGGGAAGCCTTTGGCACAGGCCCTCTGTTTGCCAGGCGGTGGAGGTGATGCGGAAACGCCAGGAAAGAGCAGGGAAGCTGTTGGCTTTCCATCGGCCACAGTTCTCAGCAGAAAGACCTTCCAGGTGCTCTGGGGTCAGAGGGCAAACGTGGTGACTGAGGGTCGCCGCCGAGGGGCCGTGTGGGGTGAGCGGTCATCCCTCCTCAGCGGGTGGTGCTTGGGGTTTTCCTGGGAACAGTGGAGAGAACGTGCTGCCGGAGTGACCTTGGCCACGTGCGCTGATCGCGCGGACCTGCTGGTTAGGGTTGATCCCACCGGACAGTGAGAAGTTCAGGAGCAGCAGTTTATGAGAGCAGAAAATACAGCCCGTTAGCCCTGGCTCGTGTGGATCAGCGGTGAGAGTGTTGGCTTGCGGATTGAAGGGTCCAGGGTTCAATTCCTGGTCAAGGGCACGTACCTGGGTTGCAGGTTCCATCCCCGGCCGTGGTCGGGGTGCGTGTGGGAGGCAACCAAGCGATGCGTCTCTCTCACATCAATGTTTCTCTCCCCCCCGCCTCCCACCCTTCCACTCTCTCTAAAAAGCAGCGGAAAAAATATACTTGCGTGAGGATTAAAGAAAAAACAGCAGGTTAGAGTGGCAGCAAACAGTCCCGCTTCCTATGGGCTAAGTAAGCCCCTTATTCTCTTTTTCTCATTGCATCTCCCGCACAGTTTCATGAGGTAAGCCCTCCTGGTCCCCATTCTGCAGATGGGGAAACTGAGGCCCAGAAGGAGGAAGCATCTTGGTCCAGGTTGTGAACTTCCCATCACACGGGGGACAAAGGCAGACTTTCACCCCGGCTTCTCTCTGACCCCTTCCTCCTCTCCCGCCCTCCCCCGGCCCAGGCCCCGGCCAGGCCGGCTGTGTTTCCTGGACTCCCGGCCCCTTCCTGCCCCGGGGCCTCTGTACGCGCAGGCGCTCGCCCCGAAGGCTCTTCCGCCACCTTTTCTGCATGACTGCCTCCATCTCGACTTTCAGGTCTCGGCTCGAATGTCTCAACTTGTTCTCTCTGACCAGCCCGGGCTAAGTTGTCACCAATCACGTCACCCAGTTTTCATTCCCGTCGTGGTATTTCTCGCTATCTGATGCGTCTCGCCCGCTCTGTCTGTTTACTGTCCGTGCGCCGTCACCAGAATACAGGTGCCCTGAGAACAGGAACCTTGACCGGAGGAGGGGTCGCACATAGTAGGTGCTTAATAAATGTGCTGACTGAAAAGGAGGGTTTGGGGTTCACATCGAGGGGCCCTGTCCAAAGCCCTGGCCGGTCAGTTGTACGTTTTGCGTTTTAGTCGTGTTCTAGCCAGTTTCTCATGTTTATACCGTGTGAGACCTACGCACACAGCCAGCGCCAAAGCAAACCTTCAGGAAAGTGTGTAGCAGCATTTTGGGTCTCGGGAGCTCTTTCCATGCTTACTAATTCTTGAGGACCCCAAAGAGCTCTCACCCCTCCCCTCTGAAATCAATAAAAATGTTAAAAAAAATGGTCAAAGGTAAGGTAATTGGGTGCAGAAATGCACGGGAGATTGATAAGCAGCGTCTGAATAGTGCACAG